TTTTTAATAAGCTTTTAGCTGTTTGAGATGAGAAATTTATGTTTTGTATTGTACAGAAGAATAATAATACAACGCTTTTTTCCAAGCTTGACGCCACACCTGCTTCAGATTTACGACAGTTATCCATAGCTGAGCTGAGCGAGTATTTATCAAAATCATAATTATCATTATTATTATTTTTATTCGGGAGAATGAAATTGAAGACACCGCTGCAGCTGTACTTATGGTTGATAAATATGGTGGTAAAGACACACCTGGCAATATGGCGGTAAACACACGCCTGCCCACACACGCTCTCTAGGCTGCGAAGTTCTGGCACAGAGCTCTCCTTCTCACCACCACTACCATCAGTTCGCGCCTGGCGCCTGGTCGATGCATGGCTGGCGGTATCCGGCATAGCAGGCTGGTACATCAAGTGTGCGTGTATGTGGGGGGGGGGGGGCGTGTGTGTGTGAGGTGTGTGTGTGTGCATGTGTGTGTGCATGCGTGTATATGTGTGTGTGTGTGTGTGTGTGTGTGTGTGTGTGTGTGTGCGTGTGTGTGGGGGGGGGGGGGGGGCGTGTGTGTGAGTACAAGTGTGTGTGTGTGTATTTGTGCGTGTGTGTGTATGTGTGAGGTATGTGTATGTATGTATGTGTGCGTGTGTATGTGTGTGTGCACGTGTGTGTATGTGTGTGTGTGTGTAAGTACAAGTGTGTGTGTGTGTGCATGTGTGTGCTTGGATCTTGTTCTGTCAGGCCACCAAGTGCGGCAGTATGTGCTTCTAAGAATAGCCATACCGCGCTGTGTCACAGTCTGTGCGCCCTGGACAAGTCCACAGTTTCTTTTCTGTGCTGTCCGTGTACTATAGTATCCCCATGGATACAGAGCAGAACACGTTAGCTGTGACTTGCCCACAGGTGTACACTCGGGCATTTGTCAACCATGCGTTGCTACTAATCTTCGGCAACTCGCACAGTTGTGCTCAATGAAATCCGATCGAGTGAGTCCCATTTGCACCCTGCATCAGTGAACATGCTAATGTTCGAACTTCGAAGATCGAGGGCTGCACAGCGTCCGGCGCACTGGTGATACAGTAAAAAAAAAGTAAATTATCGTGTCCGTTCCCGAAGGAAACTCACGACGGCCGCTAATACCCGGAAAACCCTAGCGGCAGATGCAGCGCCTAACGGTGATATAGTAAAACCTGGTGTAAGCGACCTCTGTGTTTAGCCACCACCTGCTCTTAACGACCGTTTTTCCATGCACCGACAGTTCTACACAGACACTGTGGGACCTTGTTCTAAAGACCACCTGGCTTTTGCTTGCACCGTGGGGCGGTCACTTAAACAAGGTTTTACTGTAAATACTAGAAGCAATGATAGCACGCGGGACATGCCTCCTATCCAACTTGCGTGATCCCTGCACTTTACCTGGATCAGGGTAAAGACCCCCATGATTGTAATGAGTGCACTCTAGATGTAGTTGAGGGAAGTGACCAACCATAGTGAAGACCCTGTTGGGATCACAACTGCCAGTAAAGAGCTATGTTGGTGAACAGCTTGTTCTATCATGCAAAGGGGTTTATCCCACGTCATCGGTACATTCCGGTTTAGGTACCAACAGTTTACGACCTTCCGTAGCGCTTACTTCGAGGTATGAGGAGTGTGGAAACAGAACAATAGACAGAGAGAGACAGAGAGAGAGAGAGAGAGAGAGAGAGAGAGAGAGAGAGAGAGAGAGAGAGAGAGAGAGAGAGAGAGAGAGAGAGAGAGAGAGAGAGAATGCACCGAGAAGGAAGATGCACTGAGAGACTAGTGGAAGGAAACTCAGGTTCTGCTTGTTCAATGACCACTGGAAGCTTTAAACATTTTAAATCAGCTAAAATTGACAATTGGCAACAAATTGAAGAATACGTGAGTTTTTTATGTGGGAACATTTAGTAGAGCTTGAAATCAAGTTGTGGTAAATCAGCCTGTTACTCTAGTGTGCTCAACTTTGCCAGCTCGATAGCAATACTCTAGTAGTCGCAATGTGCATTTATCCCACTACAGTCATCACTCCGATGTCTGTGCTATAAATAGGAAATGAAAAGGATGGAATCGGAGAACGGTTTTCTAAACGATAATTATGGAACTGAAGTGCAGTAGCGGCAGCACCAGCACCACCAGCAGTAGCAGCACCACCAGCAGTAGCAGCACCACCAGCAGTAGCAGCACCACCAGCAGTAGCAGCACCACCAGCAGTAGCAGCACCACCAGCAGCAGCACCACCACCAGCAGTAGCAGCACCACCAGCAGTAGCAGCACCACCAGCAGTAGCAGCACCAGCAGCAGTAGCACCAGTAGCAGCAATGTCTGCAGTGATTGTATGTTGATAGCCTTTACCTAGTGTGTCTGCCGGTGTTAGCCTGCTTGGCACAGGTGCACATTGGTCCAGCAAGTCCCAGCGTTCAGAGTGGAAAGAGCCGATGTGAGCGTATGGCACAGCCTGAACGCAGACATGATCAAAGAATCCCCGAAATCAAATAATTTTCAAGGGCGAATCCCTGAAATCAGATGATTTTCTCAAGGGCGAGTCCCCGACATCAGATGATTTCCAAGGCTGAATCGCCGAAGAGCGCCGACGATCGGTCGGCGACTTGCTGAGCGGCAAACTCGGCCGCTTCAAGTGCCGTCACCAGGCCCTCGAGGAACCCTTCTGCCAGGAACACCTTGAGCGGTTCCCTGATGGGCAGCTCTGCTATGCTACACGCCACAGGGTACATGAGGTGCGCGCGCACTGCGGCGGCCGACAGTAGCTTGAGCGAGGGCACGTAGGACTGCAGGACGCGGTGGTGTCCCGAGTGCTGCGAATCGCAGTCCACGGCGCTCCGGCCGGCGTGGCTCTGGCGGTGGCGGTCCGCGCCCGCCTGCAGCAGCAGCATGATGAGGATCTGCGACTCCGGCACCGTGTGCGCCCGCTCCACGGCGGCGTGCAGCGGCGTTCGCCCGTGCCCGTCGGCCAGGTTCGGGTCGGCACCGCCGGCGATCAGTGCCGCGGCCAGCCGTGCCCGGTTGCTCACGGTCTGCGACTGGTCGGTGCTGCCCAAAGTGCGTACCAGCGGCGTCAGGCCCTCGCCGTCCGTGTGGTCGGGATCGGCACCGGCCGACAGCAGCTTGCTCACAACGGCGTAGTTGCCCGCGTGCACCGCGTACGCTACCGGCGTCAGCTTGAAATCGGCCGTCTGGTGGCGAACGTCCGCGCCGGCGTCGATCAGCAGCTGCACGGTCCTCTGGTAGAACTTCTTGAAGTGGTGCGCATGGCTGCATGCCAGGGTCAGCGCGGTATCGCCGTCGTAGCGACTCGTCATCGACACGCTGGCACCCAGACTGAGCATCTCGGCGACCACGTCGCACAGGCCTTGCTGCGCGGCCAGCATGAGTGGCGTCATGCCGGCGCGGTCCTGGCCGTTCAGGTTGGCACCGGCCTGCACCAGGCGCAACGACAGCTCCTCCAGGCCCATGCGCCGCGCCTTGCGCAGCGACGAGCGCAGCACGGCGTCCATAAAGCCAAACTGCCGCTGCTCCACCAGGTGCTTGAGGAGCTCGGCAACCACGCGGGCGCGACCGGCACGAGCGGCCATGTACAGAGCCGTGGCGCCGTCGCCCACCTTGGCCGTGGCGTCCGCGCCGGCCTCCAGCAGCTCAACGGTGACGTCGACGGATCCGCTCTCCGCCGCTCTCATCAGTACCGTGTATCCCTGGATGTCGCGGCCGTTGGGATCCGCGCCGGCGTCCAGCAGCTGGCGCACCAGGTCGGCGCGGCCGTTGGACGACGCGATGATGAGCGGCGTGTCGCCGCTGCGGTTCGGCTTGTTCGGGTCCTCGCGCTGCAGCAGGTCGGCCATCTGGTGAACGTTGCCCTCGTGGCAGGCCTTGGTCAGCACGGTCTCCCGCGACTCCATCTCCAGCTGGTGCAGGATTGCTGCCTGGTTGGTGCGACTACGCTGCATGGACGGAGACCCGAACGCTACGCACGGGCACTCATCCTCATCCAGCTCGGAGCAGCAGCAGCAGCAGAAGTTGTTCTCCTGGCACACCTCGGCGCTGTAGATGCACAGCAGGCATGGAGCACACAGGATGGCGCGCGCGCACTCCCACCAGCTACGGCCGCAGCAGGTGGACGGCGACGAGGGCCGTGACGACCCGCGCCGACGGGCAATCTCGTCGTCGTCCTCGCCCGACCAGCGGACATAGCTGGTGGTCGTGCCAATGTGGCTCAGGCTGGAGCTTCTGGCGGTCGACGTCCTGCTGGCTGACGATGCTGCCCCTCTAGTCTGAGTTTCGATGCGGTTAGTGAAAAAGCAACCGCAGCATAGAGTAGTTGATGCTGAATCCTGGCTGTTGTGCGTGCCTGGTCCACCTGAGCTATCAGCTGCACAGAGACATGTTTGAGCAAAACACACAAACACAAACACACGCAAATGTACGGCACGAACGTAGCCATTGTGAGGAAATGGGAAGAGACAGATAGTCCGGCAGAGAGAGAGAGGGACAGAGAGAGAGAGAGAGAGAGAGGGAGAGAGAGAGAGAGAGAGAGAGAGAGAGAGAGAGAGAGAGAGAGAGAGAGAGAGAGAGAGAGAGAGAGAGAGAGAGAGAGAGGGGGAGGGAGGGAGGGAGGGAGGGAGGGAGGGAGAGAGAGAGAGAGAGAGAGAGAGAGAGAGAGAGAGAGAAAGAGAGAGGGAGAGAGACACAGAGAGAGAGAGAGATAGAGAGAGACAGAGAGATAGAGAAAGACAGAGAGAGATAGATAGATAGAGAGAGAGAGAGAGCGAGAGAGAGACAGAGAGAGACAGAGAGAGACAGAGAGAGACAGAGAGAGACAGAGAGAGAGAGAGAGACAGAGAGATAGATAGAGAGAGAGAGAGAGAGAGAGAGAGAGAGAGAGAGAGAGAGAGAGAGAGAGAGAGAGAGAGAGAGAGAGAGAGAGAGAGAGAGAGAGAGAGAGAGAGAGAGAGAGAGAGAGAGAAAGTAAGAGAGTGACTGAGAAAGAGACTGGGAGGGCGAGGGGAGAAAACCGGACATACAGAGTAAACAGAGAGGTGGTCAAAGACGTTATGCATATCTGAGTCAAGCACAGATTGGGCCCACACCTTTAATAGTTACTGCTAGACTTCCATGTCATTTTAGATTGACGAATACTCGGCATCACATTTCTCTCCCATTATTATCGCCTCAAGGATAATAGCACTGTCATCTCAGAGGAACAACGAACTAATAAAGTATTTACTATGTTAGTGTGAGTATATCAATGCCCTGGATCCTGATCTCCCCCCCCATGGCGTTATCTCGTGTTCTCATAGCGTGCCGGCGTCTCACCTAATGTGTAGTGCCAGCGCCGAGACCATCTGCTGGCCTGTAAGTATTGTCTTTGACACTCTCGACAGTTAGCCACTGCCGGACCGCGTCGCCTGCTCTGCCACGGATACTGCCACGGATGCATGCTCATCCGGGCCAAGTCCAAGCTTCAGCAATGGCCCCGGGCCAGGAGCGGCTGGCTTCCGTTCCGGGGTGCTCTTTCTGCAGGCTTGTGGCGTCGACGGTAGGAATTGCAGGGATGACATACAGCCTACAGCTTACAATGGTAGTTGTGGCACCAACCAGTGCCGCACGATTCGAACAACGGAGGAACTCATGCATAGATTGCAGGCCGTGCTTTCATCACCAGGATGCACAACATTGACAGCAAGGCACTACCCTACACGCCTCTGCAGCCTTGTCATGCAGTCGTGGCTGAGCTGCTGATAAGTAGTAAAGCACTGTACAAGTCAGAAAGGCACATTTCCGCCAAACTTCCCAAAGGCTTCACAGATTCAGATTAAAAACCAAAATGATGAAAGCCTTCACCTGGCAGCTGCATGCACATAGTCATTGCACTCTGCCCATCTCAACAGCGACCGGTTCTATTACTCAGACCCTTCACTTCCAGCACTCACGTGCGCGTGAACACAACGAAACCTTGAAACGCTGCGATGCCATCTACAAAGTAGTCAGTCACCTCGACTCGTTCCATACAAAATGTCCCGCTTTGTCTCTCTCTCTCAACACTGACAGCAGCACAATGACTCAATGTTCTGGCTAAACAGGAACGCGTGTACGTCTTCCACGAGAGCAGCAGTTGCGATCTGGAGAGGATTATTGCGTTATGCCGTGTCCCCTAGTGCCCTACATGCAGCCTAACCGTCACCGGGTCAATGTAGCTGCTCCGTACTAGCTGCTCATTTTCCGTTCCAGCCAACACCGTCTTTTACAGCTCTGCGACCAGCCGGCAAGACGGCTGCAGCCTGTATTCTGTTGTCCCAGGCTGCTCATCGTGCATCGCAGAAACCCCAGCACTCAGCAGGAAGGGTATCTAGGAGATTGACAGTCACACGTACATAGCCACCGCAGTAGCCAACGGGTCGTTTAGTAACAGTCGCAAGCTACGGTATGTGCAAACAGCGCTCTTACAGTCAGTACCACGCGTGAGCGCCAGTCGAGTCCCACAAGCTACAAGCTCAAACCTAGCGCTGACAGTGACAGTGGCAGTATCGTGCGTCGCCTCCATGATCCCCCGACGCGACAGGGTCTACCAACTAAAAACTACATACGCGTTCGTGCACGGGCAACAGAAAAAAAGAGCGTAGCTCTCTATGATCTACGTTAGCCTGGTTAGGTCTTGTAGTCGATGTTCGAGCCCGTGCCCCGCTGCTGCTAGTACTACATGTGGTAGTAACTATTGAGGGACTAAAGGTAGCTACAACAACAGACTCGGTGCCTAGTTGCTCCCATAATAATTATTAGCTCCAGAGCTTCTATCTCACACTGACTGAGTACTGTTACACCTGTTTTCAGCCCCATGGTCCACTCAGTTCTTTTTCCGGAGAAGAGCCCCCAAAGATTTTATTTCCCGTCGACGCAGCAGGTGATGCTTTCGCCACGCGGTGAGGCAAAGCACAGCTTGAGTGGCATGGTATGGTGGCCAGCAGGGAATAGTCACACTTACTCGTGATAAAAGGCGCACATGTCACAGGCAGGAGGAAGTCGTCTCTGACGAAACTGCACTTTCGAGGCATTTTAGTCCACCTAACTATCGGTATCGCCAGCGACCGTAAATCCCACCGACTTACTAGAGCAAGGGTGTAGACGAATACCTGCTTGCATAGAACCACGGCCTTACCTTTGATGAATCGCTTCAGCGAGCGTGTTCGATACTCTGCCTTGGGAGGCGCAACGCTGGCCGCTAGCCGTTCCGGACGCGGTTCAAACAACAAGCTTTCCAGGTCGTTGTTCGACTGCTCGTAGAGCACTGGAAGCGTTTCGTCCACGGGCGAGCTGTTCAGACTGATACTGCTCAGTGTCTGTGCGCTGTTTTCTCTACGCACTCCGAGGCGATCTACCACCGCCGTCGCAGCTGGTGCCCCACCGTTCATCACCGTCCGAGCATTGCTGTCCATCGAGTCGCAGCACGCATGGCAGGGAGGAAATGAGCGGACACGCAGTGTCAACGACTGCAGCGCAGCATTCTTTACCTATACAATGACTATGGCTGTAGTGTTTCCTCATTTCCTCATCTCTCGGCGTAGATCTACTGCCGCGTAGCATTGGTGTAACTCATCATGTAGGATCGATAGGCAGCACTGAACATTTCATGTGGACTTCGCAGGTCCTTGACGCAGCCCCAGACAAGCCCAAGCTGGGCCAAAGCCTGAGCTAGCTGCAGCGCTGACTGGCGCATGGCGTGGCATGGCCCTGGCGCCCTGACTCAGCCCAGGATCTAGCATGATTTTTTTACCGAGTGCATGTAGACCTACACTACGTGCGCAGACCACGTGTAACGTTCGTACAGTTATTAATAATTAATTCTAGTACATGTACACGTAAGGGCCATGGCCTAGCCTAGCGCCTGGGTCGTCCACAAAAAATATTATTAATATTTTTGTAGAGAAGATAATTCGTTCGTTTGGCCGGGGGAGGGGGGGGGGGGGGGGTTGGGCCCTGTCTTTGAAACATATTGAACACTATTATTATAATTTATACAAAAGAGAAAGGACCAAGGTCCAGGAACTACAAGTTACGCTATACTGTACACTAACACCACCAGTTACTAAACAAACAGCTCATGTAGTTTCTTGGTCCTTTCTCTTTTGTAGAAATCAATCCTTGGCTCTCCATCCGAGTACATTCTATTATTATTATTATCTAAGGACGGGCATGCCGGCACTGTGCAAACATGTACAATCATGTATATGTACAATCATGTATATGTACAATCATGTATAATTATGTACAATCAGGTATATGTACAATGTGTGTACAATGTACATATACAATGTAGTTATGACCTACACAAAGTGATAATCCACCTCGTGAACATAGCCATAGCAAAGTTGTGCGACCGTGGCAACGACTTACATGTACATGTACGTACACCTACAATACAGTCATGTACATGTACATGACTTGTAATATTGTACATGTACATGACATGTAGGTGTATGGTGAATTTGGAGGCGCAGTTGGTCACGTTCCATCAGGAGATTGCACTTCTACTACTACAGAAAGTACAGTAGTACATGTGGTAGTAGTAGTAGCTACACGACCATTAGGACGACATCCAGGAGCGATCAAGGAATACAACTTACAAGACTGACGTAACGTCGTTAGGAGAAGTTTAAAGCTCCCCTAGCATAATGAGGGTCAGAACCGGGTTCAACACCCATATGGTTCAAATGGTCGCAACGCCCTCGACGAGCTCCAAGCTTGGGGATCGAGATGGAAGGTCCAGTTTGAGCCGACAAAGCGCCAGGGAATGTCGATGAGCAGACGATCAACACCCCTCCCACCCTCTTCTCTCAGCTTTGATGGTACCGTGATCAGAGAGAAAACCGATGTTAAGCTTCTCGGTGTGACCTTCGACCGCAAACTGCTGTTCCGCAGCCATCTCCACCAGGTTGCAGTGAGAGCCAGCCAGCGCCTTGGCTTCTTCAGGAAGGTGTGCCCGGTACTCGACCGCAACGGCCGCCTCAGCGTATACAAAGGCTTCATCCGCCCAACCATGGAATATGCTCCCCTAGTCTGGCAAGGCGCAGCCCGGTCCAACCTCGCGAAGCTTGACCGCATCCAGCAACGGTGCATGCGCAGTATTGGCGCTGGGACCATGCTCCCAAGCTTATCAGTGCGTTGGCAAGTCTCGGGACTGTGCTACGTGATCAAGCTGCACTACATTTCCGGTCCAGCCCAGCTGACGGACATGCTGCCACCTGCTGCCCCGGAGCCCGCTCGCCCCAGAACCCGCCACCAACATCAAGTGAAACACTCCCATGCCTTCCAGTTGTCAAACGCCCTCCCCGCAACAAGTCCTGACATCCTACACTGATCCTTCCCGTTCGGCCTACAAACAACAAGGGATGCTATACCCTCTGCCATCCTGAACGCTCCCCCATCCAAGGCAGCGCTGCAACGCTTCAAAGTAACAGTGTACACGTACCTCCTCGAGCAATCTTGTGGGACTGCTGTCAACGTGTACACCACAGACTAGCATACTACCTGATGGCCTAACTCTTTCTTCTTTCTTTCTTTTTTAGCCCCCCCCCCCCCTGGTGCACGTAACGTTGCGTGCAAGGATACCGAGACCTCTGGTCGGAGGAGTCCACAACGCCCCATCTACACAGCTGCGCTAGTGGATACTAGTGGTCATGCTAAACCTGTTCTGTCTTGCTATGGTCCGAACGTCATCCAGCAGCAGGTTCCAGAGGGCATATCCTGCGACGGACGGCCGAGGATGGCTGATTGAGCAGACCATTGGACCTCTGATGACTCAGATCTTACGCACAGTACAGACAATATGGCACTAGCTTTTCCGTGAAGGCACCTCCAGACAAACACTAGTAGCTTGCCCTCGCACTGTACTACAACGTATTTCCAATTGCTTGGCAAACGTTCTGAAGACGTCTGCAGAGTGACTGATCGCATGCCCTCAGTTATTATTATGCACTTGCATGTGATAAGTAAGGTTAGTTGCAGGTTTTCAGTGCATCTCGCTAAGTATTTACTTTGATAATAGTACAGACTCTGCTAAGCCAGTTGGAAAAGAATTTAGAACTTCCTAGTGGAAGAGATAACAAACAGGACTTACTTACGGCAGCTCTGCTATAGTCCTTCTTTCAGTGCCCAAGAAAGTCCAGCCTCTTCTTCACGCGAATACATTGTTGTTATTATACTTGTCTGCCGCCATGTTGGAAAACTCAAAATCTCCAACTGGACAACCTGTTAGAGCCAGATTCTCCTTCCGCTCCTTCTGCCGCCAAGTGAAATACTGTACTGCTATACTTACACTAAGACAATACTATAATAACGATCGCCCTCGCTACTCTTCGTCAACCTTTGCCAGGCCTCTGCGTAGAAATACATGCGCTGCGGTTCAGTTAGTAGCCGCTTTCCTCTCCCCTGGATCCACACCACTCAAGAGGCCCTTTGGCCATATGCTAGATGTCTGTGAGCAAACAAGGCCCACGCGCAGTACTAACAGTGCGTGTTATTCTACACATCCCACGTAGACTAGTCTTACTGAAGTGCTGTACTACATGTACTACACGTGGACTTCGACAATACTTCGAACAGTAACAGTGCGTGTTATAGGGCTTGCCTTTTTTTTACCTGTCTTTCCAACTCAGCGGGCCTCCAGCAGCTTGTCAATTTCCCCACCCGTGTCGCTCCGAATGGAAGACTGTCCTGTCTGGACTTGCTTGCTACGAACCGCCCCCTCTCTGTACGCTCTGTTGACGATGCTGCCCCGCTTGCTGCATCGGATCATTTGCAAGTCATTACAACGCTAGCCTACAACATTGCCACTGCTAACACCTCTTACAACT